TAAATAGACTGTAAAATGCTGTAAAACAATACTGGTATATTGTAACCTTTTGTAATATACATTTTGTACAATAATTTAACAATAAATAATGGTTTTTTTCATGAACAATGGTTATTTTGCAATGAATATGAATTTGGTGTGTAAGGGAGAAGTAAATAGACTGTAAAATGCTGTAAAACAATACTGGTATATTGTAACCTTTTGTAATATACATTTTAAACAATAATTTTACAATAAATAATCGATTTATTAACAAATAATTGCATTTCTTCAGTTTTCTGATGTTCAATTCCTTTCCTTCCTAGTAAAACGATCGTCGTTATGTCTTGTGTTATTCTAGGATTTTGGCAAGTATTGATGAGTTTACACTTTTTATAAATATATACAATTGTGCAAATAGAATATATATACAGAGTCCTCCATTTAAATCGAGCCACTCGAATATCTTCGAAACTGTTGATAATACTGAAAAATGTCTCAGGGGGCATATTATCTGATGTGAGTAGGAGAGGATATATAAAGGTCAACATTGTTTTTTTTTATGGAATCACATATTTTTTAATACACCAATCGATGCAGCTCGTTATTCCTTATACAAAAGTACTAAACACTTACGGAAAAAAATCATTAGTAGCAATCATTGAGTAGCAATTTTTATCAAATAAAATGTAAAATTTTATATGCCGCCACAATTTTTTTTTTTCTTTAATAAAATGTTTACAGTACGAAAAACGAATGTTTGTTTTATTTTACTTTAATTTTAAGGTTAAAAATGCATTTTTAATACGCGTTGTACATACTACTTACACCTCATGCTGTTCCCCTTATTAGTGTACTTATGATCTTTGTTAATTTAAAATATTAATTATACTTTGTTTTATTTACTTAACCATTTTTTAAATTAAATTTCCGTGTCTTGTACTGATAACGTTGAAAGTGATATGCTTATTTAAAAGTATTATGTATTAAAATTGAAGAATTAAAATAATACAATGGTGTAATATGGAAGAAGTTCCAAAAGAAATTAAATTTATTAAAAATAAGCTACTATTTTCAATGCTTCCTAATTCTAAACATTGGTACATGTACTATGATATAGGTGTTACAAGTCATCTGGATAAAAATGAAACTGCTTCTGACTTTGTACTTATAGCAGATTGCAAACTCATCATAGATCCCCTAAAAAATAAACTCGATAATTATATTTATCATATACATTATATGTAAATTAATCTATAAAAAGCATGTATAGGTACCTGTAATGAACAGAAGGTAATGTTTCATAGAAGTACATAAGTTGCGCTTTATGGCCACTAATGGATGGAAGAAATTCTCCTGGATCATCTTGATTGTACCATTGTAATATATATATACCTGCTTCTTGCATTATATGGGAACCCTGCATTAAAATGAATTATTATTTCATGTACATGTAATAAGATTTGTTGTATATTTTTTATATTGCTTGAAAGTAAGAAATTTAATTTTTCAAGCAGCTCATAAAGAAAAAAAAGTGAACAGTTTGTTGAATACTATTGGTAACCTAATGTGCGTATTGTTGTAATAAACTATTAATATATTATTCTCAATATTGTTTTTATGATGTATAGGAGTAAATTTTTATACATATCTTACCTGAATACTTTCACCATCGTGGCATACAACACTGGGTTCAACTTTAATGAAATGTCCTTTGATTTCTTTTGTCTCTAATAATTCTGCATCCTTATCTGTAAGAGATTCTAAAAAATTCCAATTGATTATTTATTTATACACGGTATTTCATTTTAATTTATTTATGCAATTATATCCCGAACTATTCATTATTCGAAAAAATGTTTCAAAAACTAATATATTATAGGTCAACGAATTCGTCTCAGAATGGGGTGCACATCTGGCTAAACGAAAACATATAAAAGTTCCATTTAAAAAAATAAGAGTCATCTTGAACTTTCAGAGGTACTTGCACCTAGACAAAATTTAAACGAGCCCCCTCCCTTCCGAAACAGTACAAGTTCTATTTGTAACATTTTTTCGCATAATGAATAGTTCAGGAGATAATTGCGTGGATAAATTAAAATGAGACACCCTGTCTACCTATATACGCAAATATTTTTAAAAATAGGTTACATTATGAATGGGTTTTTGAATGTAGCAGGCCTGAAAGAGAAGAATGTATGTCTTTGAAAAGGAATAAGAAATTAAGACCTGGTGGGACTTCTGGAAACATGGGTGAAAGAGAGAGAATGGAAAAGAATAAGTAGGGTGTTGTCAAAAAGAAAATCTTGTTTAACGGTTTCCATAAACCAAAAATTTGACTAAGTAGTGAAGAGAATTTGGGGAAAAGCAGATAGGGGGGCAAAGAAGGAAAATATCCTGATAAGACGGGACTTTAATGTGAGAACAACGAAGAAAGGGAGGCTTAACATTGGAACAGATGTGATAGAAGATAACAGAAGAGCATCTAAAAATGAAGTAATTAATAAACAGGGGAGAAAGTTATTATAATTGAGATTGTACAAGAAGAGAGTTAAAGAAATAAATGAAACAAAGAGAAATGAATGGCCCAATGGTGTTTAATTTATTCTTAGTAGATTTGGAAGAGAAATTAGGTTAGGTTACGTTAGAAATAGAAGAAAAAATTTATCAATTGCCTCATGCAGATAATATCAGGGGTTACTGTGAAAAGATGTTTGGACTACATAATAAGAGGAAAGAAAAGGAATTTTTGAGAAAAGTTATACGCCAGAAGAAGTAGAAAGAAGGTTAAGGGAGGATTGTGTTTCTAAAGTAGAACTGAAAGAAGGAGATAGAGAAGTGCAAAAACAGAAGAAATAGAGTAGGCTGATTACAGAAATATTTGAGGAAAAAGTGAAAGGACTGTGAAACGTGACATCCTGCATGTATACAGTATGTATATGATGTACAGAAGTTGCTGTGAAATCTGGTGAGGTTAGGAATAAATAAATTATTACTATTATTACTACTTAACAACATTTGAAAAATGGTAATGATACATGCTTTAATATCAGTTTCAAAACTTGCGGTTAGTGCACAATTAGTTTAACTTTTTTAATTAAATATTAGTTTTTATGGTACTTGTATATACATACCTGAAGAGAGATTCTTAATGTCATCATCAGCTTGATATAGTACGGTAAATATTATATTATGCCGCATTACATCAAAATCCCATGTTAAAACTGCTCCTGGGTCGTTACAGCGTATTATTACGCGATGTATTTGTGCACGGCTTAAAGTAATGGAATGGTACAGGTTATGTTCTTGTTCAGTAGATGTAGTTTCCAATTCCATTTTGTACAGATGTTTCGGTACAATTCCTCCTTCAGTGATGTAAGCCTAATATTAATAAAGGACGTATGTTAAATGACCAATTTAATAATAATACAATAAGATAAGTAATGCATTTTAACAGTACTGTGAATTGTAGCTAATACATTACAAAAATGTGTACATAAAATTTTCAGATTTGCTACACGCACATATAATTGTTGAAAGCACATTTCCACGTTTTATGTAAAAAAAAATGTTAATGATTTTAACTTTATACTGCCAAATAGATTTGACTGGTCAATATGCATAGATGTAAATACATATGTATATTTGATTCGCAGAGTAACATGAAAATAGTAACAGTGACAGTGATAGTAATAAAAATGTGTACAGCTCGGACGACTTTTATTAATGTAAACATAAGAATGTCGCTTGAGTTGAATATAGTTTAAGTACTTCTAAAATACCTTTACGATTCCGTTCAAAAAATTGTAAATATATAAAAATTAAGGCATTTATGCTAATCTGAAATGTTGCATTTTACAAATCAAACATATTATTATAATATTATGATATTGTGTTTACATGCATCGTTGTTTAATGTAATCAAAAACATAATTTAAACTACTCTGCTTTCAAAATCAGACTATTTTCAATGAATCATTTTATTTCATTAATATTAGATATTAGATTATAGACAGACTTAATAATAAGTGTACATATATTCATTTGATGAACAATTTAATTTGGTAATAAGTAAATAATACACAGGGTGTTCCATTCTAATCACTTATAACGCATAACAAATTAATAAATTATCAAATCTGTTTACCAAGAGAATGAATTAGACTAACGCATAAAACAGAATAGTCAACAAAGTTAAAAGATATCAAGAAGTTTAGCAGAATCAGTTATACTACATTGCTCAGTTTATCATTAAGAATTATTGGAGTACAAAAATGTCTATAACTGAGGAATAAGGTAAAATAGGGCACATGTTTATATGAACTTTTTTCATTGTTTTGTATCCACCATTGAAGTAAGTCCCACATGTTAAGAAACACCCCGTAGAGTAAGTTTCATCTGAAATTTTTTGCCAAAGAGCTAATAGTTTGAGAGAATAGGGTAACTGTACCTAATATGGCACAGCATCTAATATGGAATACCCCAATATCTCGGCAAATATTTGTTTATTTGTTTTTTTTTTATTTATATAACATTCATTTTTCATAGCAAAAATAAAGTTTTTTTTTAGATTTCTTTACAAATTTCCATGGCTTCAAGACACAAACTTTTGCATAGTTAACTATTAATATACGAATATATATTAATTTTGTCGTGTTTCAACGTTAGTTTCGTTAAGAAAAAACATGTCTCTATATTTGGCAAGCTTTTAAAATCGGGTGTTCCATATTAGATGCAGTTACTCTACATGCAGGTGATGAAACTTAATAAGTACGTGGTACGTCGCGACTGTCATTTTAATACGAAAAAGCTATCGATCAGAGGATGCAGGCTAACGTTCACGAATAATATTTTAAATAATACCTAGATTTCTTCTTTCTTATTTGCCTGGATACATTTAAAAATTTTAAACGAAAGATACGTAGATAAGTCAATAGTTGCTTATTTTTTGACTGCTATGTGCAATAGAAAGATAAATATAATTACTAACACTGTAAAACACACATACTTATGATAATAATGTGGTTGTCTACTTTTCCCTAAAAATTGATACTGAAATTCAATTTAATATTTGAGATAAATAATATATTTGTTTCGCTATTTTTAATTATGGCAGTACCTCCTACTCTTCACCATCAGAGGGACGGATCATTGACCTTTCTTACTAGTCCTCGTCAAGGCTCCTATAATTATATAGGTTGTCCCGTGGCATCGGAAAACCGCTTCGGCAGTGGATTCTGCACATGAAAACAATAAAAAAAAGTTCATATGAACATATGCCCTATTTGACCGTGTTTTCGAGTTATAGCGAGTTTCTTCTTTAACACACTGTATCTGCATACCTTCACAAAAGGTGTTCAAAATGGCCTTCCTGGCATCTTCTAGCTTTTGGCATCGTCTTGCTTTTAACACTATTATACTGAGAAAGCCCGTATATTAGATGTACATCTGCCATTTCTTGATTAGAGCAACTTTCCATTTTCACACTTTCATAATCTGACGCTCTAATGACTTATACGTGAGATACTAACAGGAAGTGTTTACAGAACTAAAATACAAGGTTCAGCGTCAGATATTGAGTTCTGTTTGTGAATTAGTTCAACTACTCCTGTCGTTTGGGAAAATTATTCCAACATAAAACTCGCTACAACTCGAAAACAAGGTTAAATAGGACATATACTTATATGAACTTTTTTTATTTTCACGTGCAGAATTCATCACCGGAGCGGTTCCCTGATGCTATGAGACACCCCGTATATACAACTTCTAACCTGACTCTAACTGTCCTCCACATCTAAAGCATGAGTCTTCTAGGTAGCCTTTTCTGACGAATTTCCTAGGAGATCCAGGATGAAACGCAACTTTCTTTCCCTTTCCTTTTCCGCCTATCCTCTCTGTATTTATTTCCTCCTTCCGTAACCAACCGTCATAGAATTAAAATTAATTTATTAATGAGCATAACAGAAATGTAGAGGTACTACATTTTTTAATGTAATATTACGTTAAAGCATAAATACAACGCGCAAAATTATCTAGCATAATTAAGTTAAACACATAGCTAAATTGAATTTTGTCACAATATATAAAACTGGTTTGATATGATCAATAAAGTATAATTATACCTTTACAATTTTAATGCACGTGTAGCAAATCGGACAATGCAGTCTTGGAATGAATATGCTTGAGTTTCTGGTGAAACATAAGATGGCCAATGATGTAATTATGGTAATATTTTGAACATTACGGCGTAACGAATGTTTATAAACAAAAACGGAAATAACAATTTGACTTACAATAAAAAAAAACTAATTATTTAAATTACCCGAATTTCTAATTACCTATAAAAATATTAAGATTCTGCTATCGGAAAGACAGAAATATTTACATCCGAAATGAGAAATAATTCTTCAGTTATATTAAATAATATGGATTATTAAGCAGCGGATTTACTGTACATACTGATCTATCAAATTTCTTAGTATGTTTATTCCATGTCTAATAAGATACTCTTAAATAATACCTACTGCTATAAATTTTGAGAAAGCATTCAAATTTAAGTGATTATATTACTATATCAATATAATCTGAGCACAATATTATCACCAATATATTACCAAAAGTTTCAAAAATATACTTAAAATGGCGAAATAACATAGACAGTATAAAACTTATGCAAGGTGTCCCAGTCTTTTCCTATCAAACTTTGTCAGTATGTTCTATGTGGGCATACAAAAACAAAAAGTTATGTAAACATAGGTCGTTTGAAACTTTATTAAAAAGTTATAATAATAATACGAAATGCAAAGAGAACGGTAACGGGTGTGCGGTTATTATGATACAAAATAGGAATAGGTCAGCAATATGTAAGTACATCTAGTTTATACAAATTTGTCACCATTCCCCTCATATTTCATATTTTTGTCCTAACTCTTTAATAAAACTTCAAACGACATATGTTTATATGACATTTTCTTCTTATTTATACCCATAGAACATAGTGACAAAGTTTGATAGGAAACAACTAGGTATACCTTATATAAATTAACTGACAACGTTACAGGAATACGATTGCACTAAAAACGCCATGAAACGTATCTAAATTCATATTCTCATTTTAACGATTTTAAATGATCATTAGTAATATACGTGGCATTTCATAGTAATAAAAATTTTCTCGTACTACCATAGCTAAATAGAATTAGGTGGGCCTGTTTTACGTGGCCCACCCTATATATGTATAGACTACTTCAATTCATTCAGTTTACATTTATAAAACCGTACAAATCACGAGAAAGACTCTTCGTGACATGTAATTCTTTACTTCTTATAATAAAAATGAAAAGTGCTCGCTACAGGACGCCATTCTTTTTTTTTTGTTCTTATTGGTTATACGTATGATTTGCATCAAAATTATCCTAACAAAGGGAACAAAATAAGTAAAGGTGAATAATAGTATTATGAGTATGTCTGCGTTTGTAAACATTCAATCTACTTTCATTCATTTTTCTTGCTTTCAGCTTCTTTTCGTAACTACTACTTAGAAGAAATACGGATACTGTACGTCAATATTCGTTAAATTGTTAGATAGTCAAATTCACGCATATTTTCAATCCTATTTTCCAGGAAGTGAAGTCTCGAATGAAGTTTTATTTTACATTTCCAATTTGTTTTCATACATAGAATCACACCTTTCTGATTATATGGGACACCCTGTATAAAGTTACTTCGAAAAATTATAAAGGATATTTCTGAAGTTTCTAAACTTACAATAGAATATATTACAATAAATTGTTTGCATTAAATAGTCATTGAAATATTGCAATTTGTTTCGTTTAGAATTAAAGAAGTATTGTCAAACGAGACAAAATAATTTTCTAATTCGGCATATTTTTTGCTAATTTATCCAAATGATTTTGAATAACTTTACTTTAGTAAGTAATTAATTTCAAAATCTTTGTAACCAATCGGTAACCAATTAATTTGAATATTTGGTTTATCTATCGACTTTCAATCTATAATTTATTTTGATTTAATATGATTCATTGTCTTTTGCGATTCGTTATACCTGTTATGATTCATAATGCCTTCAAATGAAAAATTAATTTGTTAGTACTATACGTTCTTCGATAAATATTGTATAAGTTCTATTAAATGTTGATGATTCAATTTTGGGCTATTATAAGTAGTATCGATGCCTTTTCTAAAGACGTACTTTTATGGTAATTCTTAAGAGACATCAATGCAGGGTTTAAGAATTATGTGAAACTTTAACAAATATTGATAAATTTTTATATTTTTCCGTGATATTTGATTACTGTTCTTATGAAAATATTCAAGCATTAATTTATTTATCAAATAATGTTAAACATACGTATGCACATATAAGAACATATAATTTTATTTACGTATTTCTACTAAATTTTTATCCCAATAAAAAATTATCCGGTATTCTCAAATAACTTCGTCATATTCCTATATTTTATTCGAAAATTATTCCACGAAAAATTTATTCAAATCGCAACCTTAGCCCATTCATTTTGTACTTAAGTAGAATAAGATATAAAGTATTTATGTATACAGACATAAATTCCTTCAAGTTCATTTGCAATATAATTTAACAAGAAAATACATTTATACCTTATAACACGTTAGTAAAAAATATTATTTAAAATACTGCAGATTCAATTATCAACATTTAACGCACAACATTATTAAATATTTGTAAATTTCTTTTAAACAATGGAATTAATTTTTTATTTCACATACTATCGTTAATATTAATAACTCCTATTTTCCTTGTTTGAAACGTGGATAGTAATGTGTTTCACTTTTAATTTTTACATTTGATGTTAGTAATGTATTATTGGTAAGATTGCAAGTAACGATATACATTCTTTGCTGTTCTCAAAAATCACTTTTCCCATTTTAGTTGTGTTTTATAGTATCATAATTATTAATAGCAATAATTTCGTTAAATTTATTATAAAGACAAAATCCTGTAGCAACATTATTACGTCACGCGCGAATGTCTTAAAAAATAAGAAAAATGTATCGTTTCAATATTATCCCAATATTGTGTATTATTTCTGTATCAAATATTGCATTTTGTCAATAATATTTTAATTATTTCATTATCCTAATATATTTTAGGTTATACTGTGGATATTAGAACGTACGGACGATACTATTTCAGTATGCAGAACATATGTATAAGTAGACGAAGGTTGAATTGAAAACTCTGGGGTACCGTGTTGAACATTTTGCGTTTCGATTACAGTGAGAATTTATCGATAAAATTTGTTTACACGAAGTAGAAAACGTGCCGTACACGTATTTCTTTTTCTTGAACTTAAATAATTATTAAATTAATAAACATAAAATTACACAGGTGAAAAACGTTTTGTAATAACGAAATAATAAGGAAACATAAAAAAAGAAAATACCAAATATGACTACAGCCTTTAACATATAAAACAAAGATATAAAAGTCCTTACGTTATTAGTAGTTGCGTCGAAAATATAAAATCTTCGAGGTACCATACCATAAATCTCGCACACATTGTCCTATTAGTTAAAATACATTATTTCTGAGCATAAAATATAACAACGAAAAATATTACAGACACTGAAAAACATTACTTCTTATACTGTTCATTTTCATTTATAAACAAAATTATACAATACGTAAAGTATTCTGTGCCTTCAATTATTAGTACATATGTAACAAACGTTGAATTTCTATAGCATAAATAATCATTTACCAAAAGAATATTTTCTGCTACCACTGTAATTGCATTTTATATAACATAAATTATTCTTACCTCGGACGATCCTCCAAGGAAATCTGGGATAAATTCAGGATCGATGCATTCGCTCAAACTGCCCGGACCTTGTTCTTGATAGTTGGTACCACAGTAAAATATAAATTTCTTTCTCGTATTTTCATCTGTGTGATAAATTAAGAAAAAAAGAATTAGTTAATTTTGCCATAAAATCAGTAAATAGAATTATTTGTCGTTACAATGTGGATAATAAGTGATATTGTGTAACATTTAGAACAATTTATAGAGCTGAAAAGTGTGCTAGCGGGACAGCACAGAGGCAAAAGGGGTATGTTAGGGTATAGTTGGTGGAAATGATATAGTGAGGTCGTAAACGAAAGCATAACACGTTGAATGCCGCACCAATTCCATATGATTTAACACATCGCAATATGTATACAGTTAGAAATAAAACTATTTAACTATACTCTGTGATACATTAGTTTCTTTGCATCATTGTAATAACAATGACGATATTGAAAATTTCACAAATATTCCCACATATTTACATTAATGCTTCTACTAATTTTAGTACCGCCGATCACCGATGTCCTCCACGGCGCCACTGGTAAGTTGAGTGTAGGTCACCGGGAATCCCCACGGCATTCAACGTGGTAAGTAGCGACACCGATTGATGCAGTTACACCCAGGATTATGTGTTATTCGTGAATTGATATTTAAAATTTCTGCTTAGAAACTTTCATTTAAACTATACAGTATTAAACCTCCGTCGCCTCTTGCTCAATAATAATTCCCGTATTGGTAAAAATGTACCTGCATCTATCAACGATTAAGGTGCAGACAAATTTTTTAAATATACTGCAATTGACATCGAACGGCCCTAAACAAGGCTCGAGCTCTTTATCTCTCTCGAATTGCTGTTTTGGTGTTTGGATTACGTATACTTTGACACCTGACTGATTTTTCGGCCTCACTATTTCGACTCCTCCGACTATACCGATGATGCGGAATTCCCCGTGTTACATATTTTTATTGGATCACTTTGAGAACTTTGCAATTATATTTTCTAAATCTATCATTAAATTACTATCGAATAGTCTATAGTTAAAGACTTTTTTTCATATTATGTAAAAAATGACGATAGTTGTCAATGAGACAAGTTAATGTTAAAAAGTGACTGGTTTAATTAACCCTGGAATACGTTCGAAATTAATTATCATTTAAAGATCGAAAACAAGTTCAAATGTGCAACGGAAATAAACTTTAATTACAAAAACATCGCTTATAGCAATTTCCAATAGCTTTAAGATCTTATAACGTCAGCCTTCGCTCCAAATTACACAGAGAAAATATAATATTATAAGTTTATTTAAATAAAACTGTATGTTACTCTTATTAACTACTCTGATATGACATTTTTCATTATGTACAAGTGAACGAAGAAATATGAAATAAATTGCATGCAATTTCTGAAGTGTTTTCTTATGACAACAACAAATATTTTAGGAATTAGTAATTATTCATCGTACTGCAAACATTAATATGTAATGACTATGATTTAAAAAAATAATATTATCTCCTTACTTATAAATGTGCTAATAAGTGTCCACAAAATGGGAAAACATCTGGGTGCTCGCATAATTAAAACCCTGCCCATGGTTTCTGGGTAATTTATTTCAACCGACAAGTTTTTTTTTTTTATAAATAACAGCAAAGGGGATTTCATTTTAATTTTGTGATTTAAATTAAAGTTTACGCGATTAGAAATTATTCAATATATGATTTACATTAAAAAGTAAAAAGTGGAGAGTAATTGGTACTACTGAAAATACCGCAATATTTTTCATATCAAAATAAATAAAAGACGGGAAATAAAATGTTTTCTATATGAGGCTTCATAGAAAAAAAAATCAACTTTGAAACTTTGCCAAATATGTGTACAAACTATACTATCATGTTGTTCTATGACTATACTAATATGTCATGTTTCTTGAATAGTTTCGAAATACGTATATCTACTCATACTTTGAAAAAATCTAGTAAATTATATTGAGTAGGTTTTATACCTTTATACCAGGTCTCCATAAATGGCGCATATTTAGGCCTTCGAGATCTATGAGTAGACACCATTGTGAAACTGGATGGCCAGAAACTGAAGTAGCTTCTTCCATTAAAAGAAGTCCCTCTTCACAAATATGTAGTACCTGTAATTGTAATAAAAATTACGAATACTGTAGAAATCGTAAAATATTTAAACATCGGTTACATTATTTCATAATAAAAATGAATTTTACTAGTAACAACAAGTCGTCTTCTCCGATGGATTTTAATAATCCTTTCACATCCATTTGCCCCATTCTCAGAATGTATAAAGGCCGACCATCTATAAATGAATAAATTAATTCCTATTTAAATCTATATTCCTAATTAACTTTAGTTAGTAATAAACTAATTACAGTCAACAATAAATCGAAGCAATAATTAAAAAATTAGGCTGGAAATCGTGAGAACAAAATCAGTATGATTTGATGTGAAATGTAGTAGTTGCAGGATTAGTGTCCACGATTTGGGTCTACCTATGAACATCTTAGCGAGGACATAACTTAAGGGTCACTGAAACCAATTAGCCCGAGACTATTTTGCTTTCGTATGATTTATGGCAGAAACTTAACCTGCGTGTGGCCAGAAAGATAAGGATAGCTGCAACAGAGATCAATTCTGTTGGCCTGCCAAGGCTATTTCTTCTCTTAGATCATTGCTGCTCAGCAGGCTTTCAGGTGGGTAAGGGCGCCCGCTGATGCCCGCGGGCTAAGAATGTCACACTTGTACATTAAAGCGGAGTAGGGGAAAGATGCTTGTGTTACATATCTTCGAAACATAATTCTGCTTCTAAAGATGGTTACATAAACTTACATTACACGCACCGTTGCCCGAGAAGGCGTGGCTTGTTGCCCGCCAATTTGTTTGTGCCCGGGATAGCTTAATGCGCTGCCCGTGCGGGCAATGACTGAACGGCACTGTCTTAGACATTACCCCTCATTATGCTCTTCACTCGCACCGCCTAAATCTCACGTTACGCAATTTTAAATGATCTGATTCGTCGATATTATCGCGTCGACCAATAATGACAATACATGTATCCTATTTCTATCATTGTGTTAAAAAAAGGTGGGCTTAAGGCGATTTGACCGAATCAGACCCGTATTCCTGTACAGTAGCTATCCATTACTTCAAATTCAAATTACTTTAAATTATATACTTTAAATTCACGATGATTTTAACTTGTATAATAAATGCGACGTAATTGTAATGTTTAAAAAAAGATTACAACTGTTTTTAAGTCCATATTTGTACCCATAATAGGTATTTAACAAACAACCCAAACAAGGTCGTGTTTGACTCATTTTTATCAGGAGAATTTAAAGAATACTCTTACGAGGAGCGACTATGTTCAGTCACTTTGGGTCAGCAAAAATAAATGGTGGGAATAATTCGTGGACACTAATACAGAGTACAGAAGTAGACGTTGATCCTGATACTACTGTAGTTGGTATCAAAAGAGACAATTATGCAAGTAAAAACAAACTTGGAAATACATGCAACACACATGTTAGTTAAAAAATACACATCCAAATACAACGTATTTGAAAAAGTGCACACTCAATTTCATTATGAACTTTGGTCATGCATATTTTGAAAATTTGATTCACAAGAATGTATTGTTCAAACTAAAAATATTATTATTAATTGTACAATGTTTATTTAAAACATTAAAATTATTTTACTAACTTTGATTTCCATTAATCCTTATTTTCGTGAATATCGAGTTTTGTATATAAATGTAGCATTACAATAATTGAAATAACTCTCGCCTCAAATATGGACCTGTTAGATAGCCTTACTAATGAGTCGATTAATATGTTGTAAATAAAATATGTGCTTCTCTAGAACATTTTTATTTCTTTTAATGCCATTTATTTATTAATAATTCAGGAATCTTATTATTTGGGTATTAAAATTATGTAAAGCATAATGTAAGAATAATAATAATAATGTTAAACTACGCTTTATGTTAGTGGTGGCTCTGAGTTCTTCATTCTACGGTTAGTTATGAATAATAAACTTTATATTGTAGTCTTCGAAATCGATATAATCGTACATGAATTATTTTTATTGAATTCCTCTTAGAATTATAAAAATTGTCAACCGTTAAAACTAATAATAAGTACTGAAATACCTGTGTCAAAGTGATGCCAGCCACCAGGAAAATAATCTTTTACTACTTGCGGTACTTCGTACTCTTCGAGTAGTTTATCAATTTGATGCTTTTTTCTCCAATGTAACGCCTGCGTAAGCATTTCTTTTGCTTTTTCAACTGAAAATTCTGTAGCTCTGAGAAATCTTAAAAGAGTTGCGTCTCCAGGTATTGAACTTCCTCGTAACTCTTTTATACTTTGCCGCAATTGAATTAGCTTACTTTCTTGTATCATATCAAGTTTTCCTAAATATCTCTCTATGTAATCCGATGAAAGTTGCATTTCTAGAATATGAAACATTAGTCATAGAAACTGGTAGATTTTAACATTTACATGGCAAGTAATTGTTTCAGCAAATGGCTTCGCTTTAATGTAATGAAATATTCTTTTTTTTTTTTTTCCAAATTTTGTTTGTTTTCTGAATAAATTGTGTCTTATACAAGGTGAACCACGCAATTAGAACAGGTTAAACCTGATTGTTTTTATCGTTTTACAGATTTCTTAAAACCGTACGTATAACGATGAACCGAAAAAGTGCGATTACACTTTTTTCTGTAAAATTAATTTTTTTTCTTTTTTTTTTCGTATACATTAATTCCGCATATATATACGTATTCTGCGCGTGGAAGTGTATTACGTGACTGACAGACAAAAAATTTACAAAATATTTGTAATTCTTTATCGAGGCACGTACTTTGTTCAAACAATTCATGAATTGTTGCTTTTTACCAATGAGTATTAACTATGCACCCGGAATCGTTTTCCGAGTCATGTTCCTAAAAAACATTTGAACAGAAGGAATATTAAATACGACAATATTAAATATGAGATTGAATTGTTTTTCAAAAAGTGATACTGCTGCTGCACTTTTACTTTCGATATTATTTAATTATTTCTTCTCTAGTACTTTTCGTTTATCTTCAACTAACATCACTGTCTATCCTAATTTCATGACTCACCCTGCACGTTAGGTGAACATACAAATTCTTGTTGCGCTACGTTCACATTCTTCGTATGTTTTCGCAATGAATAGCAATAAGGTACACATCTTAAATAGAAAGCACGAGGAAGCGACTGAGAAACAACCAATCGTGAAAAATCATTATCAACATCTCATGCTACATTGGTTTAAGAATGTATTCGAATGCATGTGTGTGTGGAATTTTGAACAAGTGCAATGCTTTGGAAGAAAATAACGTAATAATTCGAGCACGCGTCATTTGTAGGTAATGAAAATGTTGAAACATTCTAAAAGTTTAGTAGTGTTTAAAATAATCTGGAAATTTTAACATTATTCACTTTTACATACTGTACGCGAACATTTTTTTTTAAACATGTTTCCACTTTTCTGTTATTTCAGTAGCATTATCTATCGACACTTTGGAATTTCCCCTTTTTCATATTTTGCATTGCAGTGTGCACTTTTAAACTGACTTTGAACAATGCCTTAGTATCGTTTAAATTAAATATGTTGCACAAATTGCTGCACAAATAGAGATTACAAACAAAGCTGCCACAGCTGTGAAAAGTAGAAGGCACAATATGGCGGTTCAGAGGAAGTAGCTGGAAGTTCAAGGGGGTACTCCACACTGAGGCGCTAAAAGTAAATAAAGTTTGGAAATTTTTTTCATAGATAATTACTAAATGAAAAATTTCAATTTTCCAGAGGATATAAATGTAACTTTCAGCTTCATTCTCCAATTTTTAAAAAGTAAAAATATTGCAAAATGGAGAAGTTACTGCGAAACTTCTTCTGCCTGAACATCAATTCCTGGCCGCCATCGCCGGCAAGGATTGGAACGTCTGAAGTAAAAATTATCTACAATCTAGCGTACGATTTTTCAAAATTTGTAATTATTATAAAAATGTTGGCAGTTTGAAGAAAAACTTCTTTCTACCAAAAAAAGAATCAAATTTAAACGTTTCTAAAAAATTAAATAATTGTCATATTGAAAAAATCGTACGCTACTTTGTAGGTAATACATTTTTATTTATAAATCAAGAAGAATTTTTTACTTCAGATATTCCAATCCTTGCCGGTGATAGCGGCCGGCAATCGATGTCCTAGCAGAAGAGGTTTCGCAATAACTCCTCCATTTTGTAATATTTATACGTTTTAAAAATTCGAGAAAGAAGCTAAAAGTTACATTTATATCCTCCGAAAAAAAACGAATCTTTTTATTTCGTAGTTACCTATAAAAAAAATTCCCAAACTTTTACCTATTTTTAGAAGCTTCAGAGTGGTGTACCCTAACCATCTTATGGTACATTAGCACAACTTCATAAGACAGCTTTGCTCGTTACTCCGTCCAATACAGCGGACAACGAAATACAACAAAGCGTTAACAATTTATCGTGGCGATTACGATTTATAAGAATGTTGAAAGCATTCTCGATTCTAAGACAATAAAAGATCTGCCTTTACTCCTTCATGCAGAAGCTAGAACATGATGGCAAGGAGTCAAAGCGAATGCTAACTGAGTGACATAGAAAAATGCACTGGAATTGCCACAGATTGCGTTCGTATCTAAAATACCATAACATGCAATCTATGCTGATATGGTTGCAACAAAGTAAAAATGAAGAACTTCAAAGGATAATTGTGTTACTCAAAACCTTGCGCTCCTCATTTCTGAAAGAGGACATGATTTATTTGTTGCTAAAATTTAATACTTGAAAGAACAGAACGAAGAAAAAGAGAAAATTCAAGCGATATGGTTCAAATTCGCGATCTTCACAGTGTGTTGGACAACTGTGCGTTTTTATTAAATTCGCCATTGTGGTCCTCCTGGATGTCCACGTTTCTTATTCCTAGAGTCTAGAAGTATCTCCGGAATATAATTTTACTAATAGAACGGGGGCATTTAAATACGACCACACAAGGGCGATGACGACGACGAAACCAAGTTGTGTTGTGAAATAACCTGTGAGGAGAAATTGCACGTCCCTCAGAAGAGTTTCAACGAAGTGTACCCGAAAATGTTGAGAAAGAGAGGTAGAGAGTGAGTGAGGTGCGCACTTAAGAACATTCGAAGGTGAATGTCGGCGCAGGATGGCCGAGTGTGGGATCGGGGTCTTCCCCGTGCCCATGAAAAATAGCAATAATAGCGAGGAAATGAAGATAGCGCCCTTAGTTGTGATAGAGTTCCGGCTTTTCGCTGCCGGAGATCCCGGGATTCCCGTTGGTCTCTTTAAATTTTTCCTCGGTTCTTACACTATTCTATGAACGTTTTCGCCTTTTACAAAAAAGTGTTGAGCTATCTATATCCTATAACTATTAACCTAATAGTCATTTCGACTTTAAATTTGCTCTTTTACACAATTATTATGGTGCACCAGCGCACGTACAATTAATCGCACCGTTTCACGTATATTACCTCCAACAAGAGTAAGTTTGTTTTTGAAGAGTAAATCTAATCTATATCACTAAATGATCACAGGTAAAATTGCGACTTAAACTCCCAATCTAAAATTACGACGATCATGTATAAAGAATGTAAAATAGAAAAACTGTTCAGAACTTGAAATTAATACGAAAAAATATGATAAACGAACAAAAGCAGATATTATTCTCTTCTTTCAGGACGTTGTGTACTAGAAAAAAGGAAAAATCTTAAACGGAAATTCGAAAATTAACAGCGCACATGCCGTAAAATGTTTCAAATGATGAGTACTAGACTCACAATTTGCGTGAACTTAAAACACCAAAAAGCTATTTTAATGCATTGAATAAACACACTAATTTATGAAACTGAATTGCAAAAATATAACTCACAATAAATGTTCCAACAGCAATCACTACTTATACATATGTATATAGCAGCCATTACATCGAGTTCGTCTTGTTCTGCTATCAGTACCTTTCAACCTAATCCGAATAATCAGTTTAATTTATTACAATAATTTTTAATTTCACTTACTATAACTATGTTATGAACGACAAGAAAAGAAAATTTACTTACTTCAATATATAATTCTTCCATAAACTTCGATTAGTACCATTGAAATATACTGTTTGAACGTTTCAAATAAATGGATTAAAGGACAATTATTATATTCAGTTGCCAACAAACGCAAAGATGGTAGTGTACACGTTTCAAAGTTTTTGCCAATCTGTTTTCTGACATTTTCTCTTATAACATTCTATTAGAAAAAGTACGCAGTGCTATTTAAAAAACTCAAGATCACCTTGATATCTCGGAGAATAGGAGTAAAATGCCCCGGTTCGACAAGTCCCATCGAATATCATACTTGATAAAAGACATATTCTTGCTGAAGCCAATAAATAACTAGTTACAATACTGTTCATAAATATTAGAAAACCCGTTATGTTCGTATAAAAAGTATTATATGATTTAAATTACATTTTCTCGCCAAAATTAATATATATTGAGAACTGATGAATATATCTACATTTAAAAAAATACTTCTACTCTAATTTATTTTGTCATCTTTTCGTTACAGATATATATTAAATAAATATGAAACTAAAATACCTAAGTACTTAACATCTACACTTAAACTAAACTTTAAATCAAGAGTGGACTATTTTAAGACATTAGGCGTCTTGCAACCTATAGTATAACCGGTAAAAAGATTTCTTTTTAAAAAAACAAGTAAAAAATATAGAATAAATCAATTTGATCAATTGCGTAGTTTCTGAGAAGAACAACTTTGAATATGAAATTACAGATTTAACTTAACGTAAATCAAGCCATTACTATGCTTAACTGATATAGAACTATTTTGTAAAGCGAAACAGTGCTATAACGTAGTAGCAGTCAGTAACAAAAAAGTGGTAATATTATAGCTGTCATAGTAAACTAATAATAAAAAAAGTATATTCTATATTTTTTATTTATTTTTTTGTAAGGAATTGTCGGTTATATCATGATTGTATTGGACACCTTGTATATTCCTAAAATTATGTAGAACCTAAAAATACACGGAGTCGTTCATTGCAAGCGAATAATTTTCATTTCGTTGCAAGTTGTACTCACTCAGTGCTGTGCAAAGAAATTGTATTAGTAAAGTAAAATCTATGTTGAGTTTTTTACACAGATTCTAAGAATTTTCTTTGGAATAATTTGTGCTTCACGATACACATATATTTTCAGTCTTCCTAAACGAACTATAAGATTTACATGATTTCATTTTATTTTACAAATGAATTAGCCAACATTTTGCTGAGACCACATCTTTCGGTGAGTATTCAAAAGTCTATCTTCTAATGAAAGTTTTGAACAACTCTAACAAAAATATTGCACTATTCTCTATACAATTATTCGATCATGCAGAAGGTACAATGACAAATCGTAACCTCTGTTCGTCAATCTGTTCGAAACATCACAGATTTCTTCATTTAAGTATCCTTTATGTAAAAGGTAAAAATATAAATTCTATTTAACGTACTTGTTCCTTCAAAATACCTCACAGAAAATAATATCTTATCTTTAAAACCAAGAGTGGTATTTAAATGTTACGTTTCCTTCGTTTCATCTTGTATGTGTTATCAAATATAAACGAAATCTCAAACACAATTTCGTTATTCTGGAGTTTGGTATTATTCTGACTTCTAGAAGTATCTCTCAAAATTTCTCCCACCAATTACCGAACACCCTTTATATGCAGAACTCGAAACTGTTTCAAACGACTAAGTTCCATACACGCGAAAGAAATTACTTAAAATGAAATGAAAATTGTCAATATTTCATAACAGTACTTCCCTTCTAATATATCATACTGCCTGACCAATCCTGCAAATTAGAACAAGTATAATTGATCTTATTATCTAATCTGGTTGGTTGTGTAGCAACAACAAAAGATGTTACCTCCTTTTCTCTGTAATCTTTGTTCCATTGCAACTATGGCGGTATATTAGTAAAAGGAGGAGAAAGATAGAGAAAAAGAACAGGTAAAAAACGAAGATGCAAAGAGAAGTACCGAGCTTCCTTGTGGACTCGTCAATAAGGCTACCAGGATGATCCGTGCCTTAGATGCGGGGAACAGTTAGGTTAGACCATTTGTATCAATAGGATCCTTAACGAGGAGACTTGAAGGAAAAGGTTTCGGTGTTTCGCCAATTAATCCCACTGGTGTGGAATGTAGGAAGTATCGCCACCGTATTATCCTCCTACTATTAACGTTACAACGATGATCCTTCGCGTCTGCTTCTGCCGTTGCGTAGTCAAACGTTGCTGCGTCGGTGGATGTTGCTGCTACTGGGTGCATCATTCGAAATGCTTTATTTTTTGAGACGAGCATGTTGTTCAAGCCGAGTTGCAGCCACGTACTCAGCTGCCCTTGCATCACCATGGTGTGAGAATGTATGCTGCTCTATTGTGCCGTGAGCCATCCCAGCGATCGGCGTTGCTGGATCCGTCATGTTGCTTCGATTCTCTGAGGCCGGCGTCCTGGTTGCATGGCCACCCTAGGAGAGGGGTTATGAATCCTAGCGAAGATATGTAGCTTATCTATCTTATCGATGATGCTGCTCGTCGCACTGCTCGGTTGGCGATCCTTCATGTTGTGTTTCCCCTGTTGATGCGTGTTCAAATCACGTCGGGTTCATCACTCTATGGCGGCGTATCAGTGGAAGAAGGAGATAGTAAGAGGACAGGCGGGAAAGTAGATTGGAAGTGCGTTTCGTTTTGGGTTCCCTAGTAGACTCTTCAGCAAGACTTCCTATTTTTATTTCTATTTTGAAAGTTTTACTCTAATAACAATTAATGTACAAGAATATATGTACAGATTGATTCTAACAACTACACATCAGGCGTCAGTTCTGTGTCAAGTGAAGTTGGAGAAAAACTGTAGAGGAAAATTTTGCACTGTTTAACAAGCTTATGGCACAATTTTTTCTGCAAGTGTATCGCGACCTGTGTATGACAGAAGAAGTATGTCTGACTGTGCAATGCAGTAGCTAGTGACTCGAAGTCACATAGATATCAGGTGGTATAGAACTGATTGTTTGAAAGAAGGCATGAGAAAGCTTAGAGATGGCAAGCAAACCGACGTTGCATTGCTTTAAGAGTGGAAACATTGTCCCTAGAAGAACTGACCACGGAGTGGGGAAGGCGAGGGTGCCTTCTAGTTTTTTCTTTTTTACATGGGAGAAATCTTCCAAATAAAAAAAAGAAAGGTGCCTTCTAGTGAGAGGACTGTGAACCATGGAACAGGATAAACGTAAACATATGTACATCATTAGGAATCTGTATGCGCGTTAAAATCGATATCGAACAATTCGAGTCCTTCTCTTGCGAGTGTAAATCCTTGATCTTAGCATATCAATAATCTTCGTTTAATACTAATTTAAGACTCTTAGTTTGCAATCTTTGTACATAAAGAGATATTGAATTTGGCTGTACTTTCCCATATTGGAGAAATAAGGTTATCTAGGAGACCCATGTCTTACACACGGGAGGCACTCAGACCAGAGGTTAAATAGGAGACATAGAGAGGACATGGGAGAAAAATTTTCGTATTTCGTCAGTTAGTCCCTCTGATGACGAAGTGTAGGAGGTACCGCCACAGTAACCATAAATGCAAGCAAAAGAAGACTTGATAGTACTAGCAAAGATTTTCTTGTGCACGGTTACCGATAGATAGCAGACATTTTGATATTGTCTTACGTGCTAAATATCGGTCATAATTCAGAAATGTTACACGCTATTATCATTACTTATGAAAGATTCAATTACAAATACAATTAAAAATGTTTATTCTTGGTAATATCTTGATGTCAAAAGCCATTTGCTGAATATATAAGCGTTATGTATAATAACATAGGAAAATATATCATACCTCTATTCTGTAATTTGTTGTCCATATAAGCGTAAGTTTCTTCCTGACTAAGGGATTCCTGACTTTCTGCAGTAGCCCTAAACCCGAAAAGCGATATACACATGATAATATTTCATCAAACATCAACGTAACAAAAATCAAGAATTTCTAGTAACCAGAGAATCCTTCTGATTAACGAGCAATCGCAGGAGCTGTCGATTAATCGCAAGAATTATTGTACTTAAAACTTGTACACAAAACCACTCTCACCATTTGCCATAGCGAGTGAAGATACTTGTACATACTTATGTATAATAAACCACGTAAAAACTTGAAATAGCTATATCTCATTAGCTTGACGCACAGCACATTAGCTACGCATAGCGTAACAATAAACTCATTTTGAATCGCGATGTTTCGGCACTACTACATACCATTTACGTAAACAAGAAGATGAGAGAAGTATTTGAAAAAATATTCGAGTTTTCGACATGTTGCAATTACAAACTCACCCTTCATCTTGCGCAGATGCCTCATTTGTATCCTTCCATGCAGCTACATATGTAATTCCCTCTTCTTTTAATTGATTTATAAAGAATTCAATTATTTCTTTGCCCTGTAACATTATTTTTTTTTTAACAGTATTGCATTTAAACGACAGAAGTTATAACAGCAAACTTTGATGATGCAAACAATACCTTTGCAATGTTTTGAGCATACTGTTTCATTGCTAATTTTTCCATAGAATTTTCAAAACCGAAAAAATTTTTAATATCTAAACTTGCAGTTTGCTCGAAACACGTCCATTCTGGATTTTCAGGATGAACCTAAAAATATATATCTCCGGTATTATATTCTTTCTTACCGCTAATGTGACCATACAAATATAAAAAATAGAATAGAAGATGATTCTACACGTAAAACTGAACAGCTAATATAAAATTCTGAAGGATTTTCTGAGGAACAGTTATAAATATGATACAATATTTCAAAGAAATACGGTAATGGAAACATAGGCACTCATAGCCTTTCTTTGTTTAGAAGAGACTGACTTAAAAACTAAACAAATAGGTGTCACTAAGGAGTGGACCAGTTGGACACAGACTTAAAACTTCAGCATCATAAATGAACCAGCTGTGCGGCATTAAATGACTCAAGCATAAAACCGGTTCATTTCCTCTCATGTAAGATCACTCACATGGATATTTTTGGATCACTCATCACGCAGTCACGAAATCAGATAGTCTTACGACAAAAATTTGCATAATATTCGATGCTTCCATCAAATCGAGTTCAGGAGTTTCTCGAAATCATACCTCGATGATGTCTTTTGAGGCTATATGATACATGCTCACCGCAGACATCGCAAAGCTATAAATAGAATTGATGATAAGAAATATCACAAAATTCTTTGGCGTGACATGCAGCATTGCAAACGCTCTTATACGTTATAGTAGCTTACAAAGGACGAGTGGAAAAATTACCCAATCGTAGTTCAAACGGTGCAAAATGATTTCTATGTCAACAATATGTTAACCGAAGCATCCACGTTTAGGGACCAAAGATTTAAGGCCTTCACGGCCCGGAGCATAATTATTATTATTGAGGATTTCGGGTGTAAGTCGTGTCCTTATGGAAAGAGTATTCCGAAGTTTCGTAAGCGTTGCAGCTCACTTCATCAGGGCTCGTGAAACACACTGATAATCATTATCACGGCCACAATTTTATTCTGGAAGCCACAAGATGATACGATAATATATGGATACTGTCAAAAAACGCGGTGCCCTTCTCAAAGCCTCCAAACCTAACATTTTATCTTGTATCGTCTAATTATTTGATCCATTAGAACTGTTAAGTATATATTACATATACAATCGTGGTAAAAGCACAATTATTGAAACTTCATACGCGAAAACTTTATTCTGCACTTTCGACTTATTTTTCCATGAGGAATCATCCCTTTCTCGGTTGTATCACGATTGCAGAGACACCCTGTGTTACAAGAGTAAGTATCATTATCGATGATGCGTTCTTGTGACCCATCTTACGCCACCGCCTCTGGAAAACATTTATAAAAGGACCCTCGAGAGGGTCCAGGAGGCTTTGTTTGTATTTTTGATTTCACAGAGTCAAGTAAGATATTGTTAATTTCGTGTCCGCCAGATCAATTGTGTATTAAAATAAATTGTGTATTGCAAACAAGTTTGAGGAATAGTTCATTTTTCCACATCATAACAACGTATATAGTGTTTCTTTTAAGTCAAGCATCTATAATACAATCTAGAATAACACCGTTTCTTTTGACAAAAAATCAATTTACCATTTTATCGTAAGTATGGGTACCCAAATATTAATACAAGATTTTTAATAATTATGCTGTTTGTAACATAATACATATTATTACACAACTATGCAACCACTAACTCGAAATGTTCTACAAATCGAAGTTACCAATTTTTTTTCCATATGAATGTGAAACCATCCAATATACAGTTACTCCTAAAAAACTTTATTTTGCTGACCAAATATTAGCTATGGTACATACGAATTGTACATCATTCAGATTATTTTTTATTTCAGCTACATTGTTTGCAAATACTATGCGGTGAAAATTTGAAAATTGTTCGTGTTGAAAAGGAAAATAGACTAATATGAAAACTTTTTTTCCATTTTGACCACTGCCGAGGTTCCTCGCTCCACTTTCTGGAGCAACCGTTGGTGCGTGCCGATGAGTCATCGGCTATTCGCTGGTTTATTCGAATAAATTTTTATTCCAATAAGAGATTATTCGTTGTTTTCGAATAACTTCATTGCATTGTAGTATAGTAAGTTTTAAAATTATAATAGTAAATAAAACATTTTTTTAACATTTATCATATGGTTTTGCATGTGAAATGCAATTATTTCATACGGATAAATGGAAAAAGAAGTTGAAAGTTGGCACACTACTGTTACGCCACAACATTGCTCGGTTAGTCATCCAACTTAATTATACTTCACGTAGTATTAAATTTTAATTGCAAATACCTTGAAACGTATTGAATGTTTGCCCCTATAATGAGATATTTTTGTAAACAGAATGATGAAATTTATGAATGTTCGCAATCTCAACTAAATCGGCGACCCGAAGGTCTTGCTTTATCCTTGTTAGTTTCATTGTTAACAAATGAATGTAAATTATTTTTCTTTGTACTATTATTTCTGAATTTTATGATTTTTCGTCCTTTCCGATCTAGAAAATCTTTATCACCCTTCTTAAAATGGCGATATACATATAACAGAATAACTCTACTCTAGCTTTTTTCAACGTTAACACACTATTTTTTACCTTCTCCACTACTTCTTTCAATTTTTTGTAACATACTTCTTATGTAGCTCCGTTCTCGTAGATTTCTATACCCGTGACATTAGGAAAACTCGTGAAAATCTTCAAAAATTGAAAAATCACCAAATCAATTTAAAGAATTACAAATTTGTCAGCAGGTAAAGGTTACGTTGTGATGAAGTGAATAGAAACACTGGCTGTTCATGTCTCTATTTGCCCTTCCTTTTAATATTTTATCTCAAGTTATAAAACTGAAGCTACGAGATTACTGCAAAGTGATCTGGATGGAATTTCGCTAAGTATTGGTAACAATAGTAATTTATTACAATTACAATAAAAATAACATGAAAAACGACACCTCCAAGGGTTAAGTTTTGGAAGTAACACATGACAGCTGATAAAGTCGTTTCATTATTATCTATAAGCACTTTGATCACAACAGTGGCTACCAGTTAAATATTGAGTTATGTCTTCTCCAATGACCTTAACACGTTCGCTGCCGCCGACGCAGCGTGTGCAGTCCAAAATGTATTGCCCAGCGTGCTATCGATTTTCTGGTGGCAGCGAACGTGTTAAAATATTTAAAAAACGTGAAGATAGATTATGTCTATCAAACAGCAATTTGTAATGAATTATTTATTTTTATCTAGTCACGTTATTGTATTACGAGACATTAAATGTGATTTAATTGAGTGTAATATGTATCCTGGATCCGCAACTATACGATATAGCCTGGTAAAGAGTTTTGAAAAAGTAGAAATAGATACTGTACGCTACAAACAATAGGTAACGGTTGAGAAAACAACGCTTAAACCAGGAAGAAATACAACAGGAATTCGTAAATGGTGAATATTACAAGGATGCATAAGAAACGAAATCGATATCATTTGTTAATCCTTACATTAGAAAGTGTAAAACACGATACTGTTGCAATGCATACATATCAAAAACAGTTCGCAGAATGTTTAAAAAACAAATTTCAATATACCAAAAAAATTTATAAACCAACTTTATTTTGGCAAATTAATATATCTACGTACTTTCCTTAAAATGTTCGTGTATTTGTACTACATTACAGACACAAGTTATAAAAGGAATTGGAGACGTACAAAATGATGATTATCAAATAACTGGAAAATAAATATGACAATATGCTGAATGTAACAAAATTTAGGTAGTGTAATACATTCGTATTAGTTTCCACGCGTTACGATAAGCGATGAAGATACAAATTTGAGAAACATTCGAGCGAGATGTTTATCTTAAGAAAGTAACACGTTGTATGCGGTGCGCATGCGTGGCAACTGCGGCTGTTCGGGACATCTGCACGGCACCGAACGACACGCACCGTGGTAAACTTTATTTTCTCTTTCAATGTTCTCGAAATCGCTTTTGAAAAAGCGTCATTTTGAATTATTTCTCAGGTCAAAGATCAAGAAATTCAAAAGTATTTTTTTCAAATTGATCTATTAGTGAGAACGACGTGAAATCGTCATTTGAAACTTTAGCACCGATAATTATTACATTGCTTAATAATAAATACAATTTTATGTAATACTCGGAAAGAGCATTCCTTTAGCTTTAAAATGAGCATAAGATCGAAGCATTATCTTTAAACAGAGTCAAAATATTGCGGTTGAAGTAATGACATATCCGCTCATTTCGTGCAATTTTTTAAAACTTTAACATGGAGTAGCTCGAAAACAGTTTTAACTAGAAAGCTGAAATTCCATACAGTTCAATTTTCCGAGGTTATCAACAAATGCAGCGACTTTGAAAAAAATCGGTCACTATGATCGCAATTCTGTGCGTTTTGTTGCGAAATAGCTTTTATATTGTATACATAATGGCACTACACATATACGTGAAGCAGTAGGACCGTAGAGTAGTGGGGATAGCGATGTGCCTTCTTACCGCTCATTTGCTTGCGCATGCGCGTTAGAAGCTTCAGTTTTGCGTGGTCGACCTATACAGGCCACATCTACCGCCGTCGAAGCATTGTCGATCCAGAAAGACGCTTCGTGTGCCAGCGTCGACAGTGTACGGATCGGTCACCGTCGTAACACCAAAAGTCGATAACGCCTCTGTGTGTTCCACGACTACCACCGCGAATCCTCCATTGAACACGGAGGCGGCGCGCGCGCGTGTGTGTGTACAATACGAACCAATAAAAGCGAGAGTGCGAATGCAGATCTTTTTCGCTCAACTTTCCTGCACGTTTCCATGCTCTACCTTCAAGACTGGTCTTCTTCAACTTTGATCATTTTACTAGTAAGCTTATACAGGGTGAGCCAGATAAAGTGCTACAAGCTGTTTTCTGCGAAACCATTGCAGATACCGACTTGAATTTTTTTTTACATTAAATGGGACAGGAGCGGAGCTAATTATTTAGGGGTGGTTCCTAGGGAGACAAAGGGGCCCCCCTATTTTTTTTTTAAACGGAACGGCATATTAATTTTTTGTTATTCAGATAGCTGTTATCGAACTTAACAATATTTACTT